TATATATATATACACATATATTCTTCTTTTGAGTCGGATGTTTTTAATGAAGTGTTCGAACAGGTTCGAAACGATTCTTCAGTTATAAGTCAGTTTGAATCGGTTCTCAAGTCAAAAACTCACCCTTTAACCTTCACAATGCATTCAGAACCGCTGTACGATTTCGGAGAAGCGTTGCTTCATAAAACAGTCATAACTTAACATTTTTCAGCTAAAGACACATTGTATCTGATCAGCCACTTCTCATTAATGAGGGAACGAGAAAAAAGTTCAAAGTTTAGTATGTTATTGCCATGTTTTTATTGCATTTATCTCTTTTGGATCAAGAAATTGTGAATTTTTTTGAAATATAAAATTACTCATTATCCACATCACACATCAAAAACTGATGCAATATATATATGTGTGTGTGTGTGTAGATGATAAATCTAATATTGTTGTATTAAATTTATAAGAACATATAATTACCAGTATTAACAGTCAAAATTTTTGAAAATTACATTTATTTCTAACAAAACAACATATCTATATCTCTTTAAAAATAATTGTAATAGAGTGTTTTTTCGAGGGTGTTAAAACACTTGTAGAGTTTCATTCCCTTACTATAAACTATGCTGTTTTTAGAAATGTATATGCATCTCTTCCAGGTCAAAATGGACCAAAAGTGTTTTATCTAAACCCACACTGAGTCTCTCTCTGTTCTTGCTTTCCTGTCTGATGTTTACTGGCCTTTAAATGCAGTGAAGCTCAGAAATGAAAGTGGTGTTGTGTTGTTTGTTTCAGGGAGGCGCAGTTGAGATGCGGAAGGTGCCGGTTCCCGCTCACCGTTACAGTCCTCTGAAAGAAAACTGGATGAAGATTTTCACCCCCATCGTGGAACATCTGCAGCTCCAAGTGCGATTCAATCTCAAAACCAGGAACGTGGAGATTAAAGTAAGTGTTGGCAATCATTACAGGCCATTTTAATTAGTGGGAAGTGATCGTCTCAAGTAGTGTCAGATCATTTCTAGCAAATGAAGTGCTGTTGTTTTGCAGACGTGCAGAGAAACGTCAGACATCGGCGCTCTGACCAGAGCTGCTGACTTTGTGAAGGCGTTTGTTTTAGGCTTTCAGGTGGAGGTGAGTGTGACGGGTTATTTCTGTTCAGTACGACTGGGTGATCTATTCACTGATTTTTTTATATATGCGTAGGTATATTTTTGCCAGAAGATCCTGTCACTAGATGTGATTTCAAAACGCTTGCGAGTATGAAAGCATTAAGACAGAGATGTTGTAAAAGCTCTGATTTAATTCTTAGTTGCAGAATTAAGTTTGATTCTGTGATCAGTTCTTACTGTCACTTTAATGAATCAGTTGTAAACGCTTAATCAGTTTGTTTCTCATCACTCAGAAATGTTTTACAATGTTAATTTAGATGATGCTTATTCTAATTATTCATTGATTCCTCTGGTTGGTAAAAATACATTCTTTAAGCCATTTCAGTGCAAATACATTACCATTCAAAAGCTCAACAGGGCTGCATTTATTTGATCAGAAATACAGTAAAAATTGTGAAATATTACAATTTAAAATAGCTGTTTTCTACGTGAATTAGTGCTGTCAATCGATTAAAAAAAACTAATTAATCGCACATTTTTTTCTGAAATTAATCGCAAATAATCCCACCTAACATTAAAGTTTTTAAATATACTTTTATATTGCAATAATTTCACGTTCAATCTTCAGATTAATGTAGAACCAACATAAAGACAATATTTATGACTGAAGGAGAGTATCACTAGCCGGGTTTCCATCCAAAGTTGCGAATTTAACTTGTGCGCAAAACTGGAATATCGCATAAAACATTTGCGAACAAGCATCGTTTCCATCCAACGAGTCAAAGAGAACAAAATCGTCACTTCCTGATAAACTGGCACTATAACTCACTAAGAAAACTAGGAGAATATAATAATTTTCATATATAATTACTTGCGCCTCAGAGCGAGCAGACGAAACGCAATGAATGCGGTCATTGCTTTCGGAGGTGGATGCTGCTGTTTGGGAACGCAGTCGT